CTTCCCCATTCGTGGTAGATCTCGACGATTTGTCCAGAATTCTAGCAGACGTGATAAAGCAATCGGAGCGTCTGCAAAGTTTCTTGTCTTATCTGGTGCGCGATATGCTCCTTGGGAACCAAAAACACGAGAAAGGACATGATTTATTTCACTATTCGGGTGCTCCTGCGAGACGAATGAGCCCTGAAATTGGGTAGAAACATCTGGAAATCTTGGATCAGGGATCGTAATGCTGATGGCATGGTTGGATTTGCGAAGAGCTCAGTGGATTATCGGTAATTGTTTGATCTGTCACTCTCTTGACCCGTTTCCAAGACTCGATTCCCGCATTTAGAATTGAAGATAGGGACTGAAAATTGGGGAAAACTTTTTGAGAAGACAGATAAGGTCGTTAATATGTGTTTAACGCGTTGATTGTCATAATGTAACTAATGAAAATTAACCATTTTCACTGCAACAATTTTTTAAATAAGTAAGATAGTGCAGATTTAAATCTAGTATATGAAATTAGATAATATATCACACGCAAAATTGCGAATTTTCGGCACTAACAATAAGAGCTATATAAATACTGTATTTCCTAATTGCTGGAATTGATTGTTCTTTGATTCATCATCTTGATATAAACGAATAAAATTCAGAGAACCAAGAATATTGAGTTTCTCTCTTCTTTTATGTTAGATCGATCTATTCCTGAATATTATGAACGAATTTTATTACACATTTGATATCAAGAATTAATATAAATACAAAAATCAGAGAAGTGATAACTTTTTTATTATATGTAACGACATTCAATATAATGTACATATTTTTTCAAAATTGTTCAAACAACGAAGGAATTAAGTACTGTTGGTCGTATTAACAATCCCATAAGTAACAAAAATCTAACTCAAACAATACATCAACTCCTCCAACAGCTTCAGATTAATCCACAGGACCTTTAATATTTCTCTCCGCACAAACGCGATAACAGAATCAAGAATTCTTCAATCCCCGTTTCTCTCTTTACAAACCCCGTTTCGCGGTTTAATCAGTAACATCCGCTGCGTCCCATCCACTTCGACCATTCCACCCTTCGATTCCACTCAAACAACCCAAAGATGAGGACATCGCTCGAAATAACGTCAGATTTTCTCTGATTAATTATCTACGTGTTCACACGATCACGACACCCTTTAAGCGCGTCATTAATAAATGCGCCAAAGCACGCAGGCAATTAATCGTCCTTAACCTTTGAAGCGATCGGTTTAATTGACTATTTATCAGTCGATCACGTTTGAAAGCTAACAAGTGACGCTTGAACAAATCGATCGTGCCACGGTTGATCTTCTCCAAAAAACCTTTCGAAAAATCTATATATTGACTTCACTGCGACGCAACAGCGAGACTTCGATTATGCGAACAACAATGGTGTTGATTATATGACGTTCGGGTTTGTCAGCCGGCGAGTACGAGAGGATCCGCTCCGCGAGACAATGGAATAGCCAGGGGAGCTAAATGATTTACTAATTGCTTTAATGGGCCGGCTGATTGCGATTCCCTGTGCTTATATAGCCAGTGAATAGGCGCGTCAAGCGTAGGCCAGAATTTGCGGCATTCGTTGACGCGTCGTCGACCGGAATCTTTCGTCGCCTTTTTCTCGAGAGATTCCGGCTTTTCCCATTTCCTTCCACGGAGGGAGGGCAGCGTTTCCTTCGTTCGTTCTCTTGGCCCCGGAAACGGAGCCATGCCAGTGATTTCCACCTGGCGAAGAAACAGAAAAGTGTGTGCAGGTAATCGTTAAACTGTAATGGGAGAATCAGAGACATCCGGTTTCTTCGGGCTGATCGATTCGCAGATGGTGACCCGAGACATTGTTCCCTGTCCACTGCACAATAGGTGTTGGGACTGGCTTTAAGAAAAAAAAAAAACACTGAAAGGATTGAAGAAGCGTTGCGCTTTAGTTGAGCACTAAGTGGCTCTTCTATGTGTCGCGTACAAGGTTTCTATTCTAGAAACGAGAACGGATTGTGCAATTTCTGCGCGGAGATGCCTGCAACTCGTTGTTCCACGGCTGCTTTCTTCGATTCGTGTTCTTATTTTCGAAGTTTTTAATGGTGAATAATGCTCAGAATAAAGGGATGGCAAAGAAAAGTAGCGATTGGTTCTATTGTGTATTACGGTTGTCTAGTTGTACACGTACGAATCCACTGTAGAGACTAAAGAAATCGACTGTCGATTGAAGAAATATGATAGTTAGATAATGGATTTTATGCAGTTATAGCCTACAGGGCTCTGCGGAATTTTAAACATTTGAGGATCAACTAGAAAAACATACTAACTCAAAAATAACTCAACTAAAAAATAATAACTCTTTTTAGTTATGGAAAAATAAAAATTCCAATTTGTCCAATAGTCGCTACTTTTTATTTTTTTTTATGAGTGTAAACTCGCAAAAGACTATTGAAGAATTTATTTAAGATACATTGACAAGGTGCGTGTATATCAGAAAATTCTTTGTCCCATTTCATCTTTTCTACCACTCTATAAAATATCAAAACGTCTACGCGAGACACCTTATATATTAAGCGTATGCAATAGTAATAACTGTGTTACAGTCGAAAATTAGTATTAACATCGAACAATTGTCACATCTATTGGAAATAGTTCCCTTCATTTTCTATGACATTTCGCCATTTTTTAAAACAAAGGCTGAATTCCCAACAAAATAAAATAAACCTACAATTCCAACAAAAATGATGTATCAACTATTACTTTTGCATACGCTTAATATTTTAATGACCATAATCTAAAATCCACAAAATTATCGTAGTAAAGTGATTCTGTACATATACTCTTTTACTGACACTATCTGCATGATATATCGTCTGCCACTTCTAATTGCATTACAATGATGTTACTAACAAGATTATGTGTCAACAGACACAGCGTAGCGTGCGAGCTCACTCGGTCCTAACAGACTCAAGTGATACATGCCCGTACCGCGATAACGTACATTTACCGTTTAGTGGCCATACATCAATCACGGATGGTTCACGGTGTAGCCGTACATAAACGGTGTTGATCGTGAAACATGATCGACGAACAAACAGCGCGTGTTAAATAACGAGATCGAATTACGTGTACCGTTTAAATACATTTCACGAGAGCCAGCAAAGTGGCGCGAAACAATATTTGTTGTTTGTTACGCGCTGCAAGAGTTCCCGGTAAATACCCCGTGGTCGATTGTCAAATGCACCGCCGCCCAACGAATGATCGAGACCGTGAAGATGATCGTCGTGCATGGTTAGCAAAGTCAATTCTCTCGTTATGTATACTGACTTGTCTTCGTAATCGTGTACGTGTCGAAATTGTGTTTCAGATTCATTCGATTTCATTTTAAGTGAAATCAGACATAGTGATGGAAATGATAGTTGAGGGTCTTTCGAAATAGAACAGTCAGTGGTTAGCTAATCGTTTTGGAAAAATGATTTCTGTTTGTAACATCAGGAATAATTGCCAGAATATCTATTACTGATAACAGTTCCTCTCATTTTCTATGACTTCTTCCTATTTTTCTGGCAAAGGTTGAATTTTCCGGCGATAAAATAAAGTGGAACCGCAATACCAACGCAAATACGTCATTACGCAATTACGTTCATGCAAATATAATGTTTTCCGGATTAATTTACGGCAACTGAAATTGAATAGAAATTTCTTTAATCAATTCAGGATTCTTTTAGGTTCTTAGCAAAGTTGGGTACAATTTTATTCGAATAATGCACAGTGAAAAGCAGCAGTAACTAAGAACGTCATCTTGACGTTTAAACAGTTAACGAGATGAAGTACTTGCCAAGTGTCTACTCATTCAAGAAGAACCATTATTTCATTATAAAGATAGGAATTGTCACGTTCAATCAACTAAAAATTGCGAAATACTTTTTTTTTACCTCTTATGCTTGACTTTCTTCATATATCAGTGCCTCCTTCAGATAAACTTTTTTCTATTATCAAACTTTCCAAGCGTAGTTGTGCGTGTAATCTTAGAATCTTGAAAAATTAGATTGAAAATAAAGAAAATACAATAACTAGAACGCCCACCCCACAGATCTCATCAGCGCCCACGTTCAGAACGTATGATAGAGATAATAAATTTGCCCAACTTTAACTCTAACTAAAATAGAAACCTCACTGAATTCCATTAAATTCGTTACTATACCGAATTCTAGACAACTGAGTATACTATAAATGCTTAAAATCCGCAGTCTAGTCATTACTTTCACGTACACCTAATATTTGCATCATTCTACAGTCCAGTCACGCTTTACGTAACAAAAGATCGAACCAGACGGAGACAATTCTGCCAGAAAATTCCATATCCGTGCGTATCAACGAGAAAGTCATACGAAATTACACCGGAGCGGACAATTGCCAAAGCAAACTTCCACGTAGCGGGTCGCTCCGGATCTTCCCAGGGAGACCATTAATTCGGTCGTAACGAAGCAGCCAGCTCTCGGGAAGGAGGGACGGGGCGGCCAGGCAGGTTGCATCAAGCCGGGGTCCGGTCGAATGAGTCGAAGCCCGCAGAGAACGTTCCCCAGAGCGTTATCAATCCCAATTCTATTACTCGCGAAAGTTCAGCCGTTTTCCGTTTGCCGCGTCTGGAAGCAGTAACGGTCGATAAATAATAGACGTGAGCGAGCGTCGTTATTATTCCCGCGGTGGCATTTTTTTTTGGAGAGGCTCGGGTCGGTCCACGTCGCCGCAATAATCGACACCTTCAAAAGGGGCCGCGTCATCTTTCCCACCGGGGAAACGGCCGACGAAGAAAGCCTTTTGCCGTTTTTCCCCGGTCTGGATATTCCATTTATCCGCGAAATAAAAGAATCTATCCCAGGCGGCGATTTGTGCTCCCCCACACCCTATCTCGTTTCCATTAAACTACCCAGCGGCCTGGACCGTTCGATAATAATGTATCCTCTACTATTTCGTACGGTTTTCTATTTGTTTACTTGCAGGTGTTCGACAAGCATAATCGTGGATACATTACCGCGTCCGACCTGCGTGCTGTGCTGCAATGCCTCGGGGAGGACCTGTCCGAGGAGGAAAGTACGTATCGATTCTAACGAACCAATCCGACGATTCCCTCGGTGGGATTTTTAACGAATACACTCGGTTACCTGCTCGAACGATTCGATTATGGGATATTGTTATTTATGAAATGGTAAACATGACACGCCGGAGTGGGGAATAAATGGGAGTGTGGATACTAACGGTGATGAAAAAAAAAAGAACGCAGAAATTGCTGGGAAATTGGTAGCGGAAACTTTAACGTCCGTAGTAAAACTTCCTACATTGGATTTAATTGAGATATATGACCGTGAGGATAGTTGAATTTTGGTGTGATACAACATATATCTCTGTGATGTTGATTTTATATAATACTGCACGGAAGAATACAAACATTGGCAAACTTCGATAATTGACGGTAGAGCTTCCCGCTTTCAAAGACATGATTGCAAGGAGAATCGAATTTTTATACATATAATATAACACTTATATTTGTGTTGCCAACCCTTCATATATTTTAGAAAGTAGAATACAAATATTGATAATAAAAATACAAAGTAGTATAAATATATTACTTTCTAAATATGTTACTTAAATACGATTTGATTAATAACTTGTAGATCTTACTATGGATACCGATGTGAATCCAGAAATAATTATCTAAACAGTTCTAGCAGCAGTCGCACACGCGATTGCATAAAAACATACCTTGTGCAGATAACAGATGAATCGAGTAACAGAGTGTTTAGACGTTAGAGTAATGGAATAACGGGAGTGTTTAGTTAATGGAAGTTTTACTGTAATTATTCACTGTTTAGTGGATCGTTTTCACCCTTCTAGAACTATGAACCCGTATTATGGGTTTCTACCTACTCACCATTTGTTTGAGGCAGTTTACGTAACGTACATTTCCAAACCAATGAATATATACACCTGCAGATTTAGACACCATTTCTCACTGATCCTTTATAAACTTGTCGAAATTGCATATCAATGACTGAGAGATTTTCTCAGTGGCTTCTATATACGAACGCAGAAAGACGGGTATTAAATTCAGTAAGCTCAAGAACAACAGCGCTATTAGTATTCAAATTATTTATAACCACCCGAAGAACGTGGCATAATAATGCCGTTCACAGGCTTCGAAACTTTGCGTAATGCATCTTGTGAAGGTATAATCATATTTACGCGATACCATAAACTTACCAACAAAACTATGCAAATTGCTAGGCTGAAGAAAAGTCTAGTCCATGTCCGATCGTTTGCACAGTCAACCGATAACTTCTATTCCCCACACATTAATTGCCAAAGTGAAAAAGGCCCTACGTAGTCAGACATACTTTATTTCGTTGTTTAAGTCATTAATCGCCGAAGATGTATGCGTTTGGTTAATAGAGGCTGTTGGTCTTGTTCTAAATTATACTGCCAGATTAATTTTACGCAAAGATTGTGTAACGGCATTTAAACAATCAAGCCTCTTTGCAATGTACGTGTCACCTATATTTCGGTGACGTGACAGTCAAAGTGTTAATGTATAAATACCATTGACCAGAAGAATCCACAACATCCAAAGCAACTTTTCAGTCCAAAGATCTTTAACTTTGTTATTCTCTTCAAGTCTATGTGACCCGAAATGAAGATTATACTTCACTAGGTATTATTTTTTTAAATATTTCTTTTTTGTATCTATTTAAATTTTATGTCTGCTGTTTGTGCAGTTCCCATTTCTTAAGAACAAATCATTACAAAGTTTGCAATAATTTTCTTCGACGGGATACGACTTGAAGTATAAGTGATGAGAACAGCAGGGTTAATGCAATAAATCGAAGAATCCCAAGGTAGTGGCAATTAAACAGAGATATTTCGTTCGATAGCTACAAGAACAATGGGTTACGCGGGAACCGATACGTCTCTTCCAAATCCGTGGACATCGAAGAAAAGTATTCCAGGTGACGACCCGTCGCAGTAACAAAAACGTGCCATGAAACGCTGACAAAAGTTTCCCGCGTCCGTCACCGTATCCATTCCCGTCGATTCTTCATCACCGCGACAAATCGACTTCAATCCCGCATCCTCGACACCTTCGCCGATACGCGAACGAGACTCGAGGGACGCGCAAAACGGTGGCGCGAATTCTTCGAGAAAAGTTCGAACGATGCACGCGGAACTGGTTGTCTCTGGCTCTCGGACGGAATCCCTCAAGTTATTCGACTGCCAGAGATTTCCATAACTTGCCCACCCCCGCACAGGATTCGGGCGAAATTTCGTAGCCGAGGAAAGAAATATACCGAAGCCATATCAAAGCGAGGAATATCGTAAAAGAAATCGGTTATTTCTGCGAAAGAGGAAAAACGGAGACGTTGTTCTCTAATTTTCTTTCGTGGATTACAGCGTATAAGGAAACAGAGAAGAAGAACTGTTATTACTTCAAACAGAATAGGATTCCGTTGGTGCGGATGAGGAGGTATTTGTTCCCGTTGCTCCCGTTTCGCTCAGGTGTTATCTCGCTGGATTTCGCGACCTCCGTCTACTCTCTAATTTTATTTGACGCGTTATTACGGACCGTTCCCGTGATTTAGTCACGGGTAATCAAACCGTTTCGAACGTGTTTAATCCATCTGACGAGGAGTTTAACAGCCGTCGCTTGCTTAATAGCACAGCACTTTAACGACATCGGACCGACATCGACGTATTCGCATTATTAATATAAACGCGTCCATCTATTCATAATTGAACAGCATCGATGTTCCTCTGCATTGCCTCAATGTGTAGCAGACGACTAGATATCTAACCGTGGTGAACGCTGCGAACAGCAAAACTTTTCGTCAGCGGTAACAATTGAAGTAAAAGTACGCTCTTAAAAATCATGCAAATACAGTCAATCCTCGATGAGTGTTCGAAACTTCTTCGGCACTTCTGTTCAGACGTCATGTCTATCACGGGGTGGGCACTTATCGATGATTTACTGTACATGGATATACCCAGAGGGGGGGGGGTGGAGAACTTGCCTCCCTCCTACTAGAAGAAAAAAGTGATCTTTGCCCTGCCCTAGAGGAAAAAATTAGATTTTGTCCCCTCTCCGTCAGAGGAGAAAAATATTATATTAACTAATATTTTGTATATAAGAATAAATCTAAAATCCATTAAGTAATATTATGAAATTTGCCCTACGATGAGGACAAATTCTCCCCCTTCGACCGATAACCTGGCAACGCCCATGCCTATGCAAATGAGTGATATCGGTTGGATGCCTCCAGGCGCCAACAGTACACTCAGAGCAAAATTTCCAAGTAGCGAGGAAAGGGTTAAACTTCTTGTCAGACGTTTCGATCGAACATGTATGAAACAGTTCGTTCACTGATCCCCCACGATTAGCCGGTGATACGTGGTCTCACGCGCGCGGAAAGTCGCGACATGCCCGCGTTCCCGCCAGATTCCAACGAATCGTCGGGGGAATAAGTCACGTGGATAAACAGCGCGTCCGAATGGCGAACGGCGAAGCCCCCGGCACAGAGCTTCTCGTTATCCGTCCGTGGAGTCTGGCCCCGGCGTCACGGTAATCTCGCAAGCTTCTTTGCAATTTAGAGCGGGCGTCACGTCCCGTGTGCCGCGCCGCTCGTTTCGACCGATCGTCCGGAATCTTTTATCTCCGCGCGACTCGACGGCGTGAAAGTGTGACGGAACCTCTGGTCCCGTGCAATTACGCTCGGAACAGTTTTAAGAATCGGGGATTCGCCGAATAACGAATCCGTCCAGCGAGTCGAGCGGAATGCGTAATATGCATTGGACGAGACGGAACGGAACGGGTGACGGAAGCTCGTTTGATTTCGAAGAAAATTTCTTGACCTGTGAGAGAACGTCGCTACGAGGAAAATCAGAGTTCGCGGAGAACGTAAGTGGGTATGCATCGGAGGGGTAGGAAGATTCAAATGTTTCTGGATCGAATCCAACTTTCATTTTGCAATATAATTTTTTTATACAGGTCATTGAATTAGGACCTATTATTTTTTTTTTTAGTGAAATTGCAGTCTGGGGCTGTACTTAATGTACTTTTGTAGGTAACAGACAACAATATTATGGAGATAATAAAATATTAAAGCAGTTCTTCTAGATCACTTAATACATTAACAAATTATGAAAGAAGATAATGTAATGAGACATTTCTTCGAGGCGGATTTATTGGAAGAATATTTTTCTTATATGTATCAGTTTGGAAGTTCCTCGTATATCTGCAGATAAATCACTACTGATTTACAGTAACATTTGTACGAGTCAGATTTTCAAAAATCCTGGAAAAAGTGATACCTGGCTATCGTACATCTGTTTCCGGAAGGAATCGAAAGAACTAGAAAAATATGTACCGAAGAATCAGGTCACGCTTGATACTAGCTTGTACAAATATTTATGTTGTCCTCGAGTACTGTGAAGCTTTCCAATCCTATGGATAATAGAAAAATATTTGCTATATCTACTCGATGAGTTTAATTTTTTCTTTAATTTGGTACAAAGTGTCGGTTGCAATTTACGCCGGTCTATAAAGCTCACGAGCGTTTTTCCATCCGTTTACAACGATCAGTCTAGTCTGATGAGCCCGGTAACTTCGTTAACCCTTTCGAACGAGCTGGTAAAATAATAATGGTCCAGCCACGCTAAACAACAACGAATTTTCCCGTGAAACTTTCACCGTAGAACAATCAAGAAGCATGCCGTGTAAATTTGCCCGCGCTGCGTTAATAACTCCGACACGGTTGCGTTTGCGCCCCTTCCCGCGAGACGTAAATTGCGTTCCCCGTATTGAACTTCATCTACAGTGACCAACGTAATAATACGTCGGTGCGGGGGATGAGGTTACTAATTGACCGGAATCAATTTGTACTGTACATGTAATTCTGTCCGTATTAATAATTGCCAGAGGGTATCAAACAGATTACAATATGGTTAGTAACGATCTTCGAGAAAATTGCCGATTGTACAGGCGATCGCAAGAGTACCCGTTTGATGAAATTTAATGTATTAATTAAATGGTTTCCATTAACATTTAGTGAAATAAATTAATGAGATGAATACCGTTATTATCATTGGAACAGCTTAACTTGTTTATCACTTGTAATACAGTTAAATATATAACTATCAGAATATGTTAGTTTCATAATAAGTAGAATAGGAAATACTTACTACGACCTGTAGTAATTCTTTTAATTTACCTGTAGTAGTACTTAAATAACCTGTAGTAATTCTTTTAATTTACCTGTAGTAGTACTTAAATAACCTGTAGTAATTCTTTTTAATTACTTTTTATCATTAGATTGCTGTTATAGTTTGAACTAGAGTTTAACACTAGGCATTATAAATTTATAAATTAACTAATTTAATAGGAACAAAGACTTCGAAAGGTGGACCTAATGGATTCTCCGATTACCATTACTTATTCATTGTAGGGACGGTTAGAAACCGTAGATTCTGACCTTATTCTTTCCGATCGTGGGAAATCCCAGAAAGTAATAACAATGGCCGCTAGAAACTTATTCCCGGAACGTAGAAGTTTCCTCGAGTTCTTTCCACGACCCTCCGGGCCAATCGTGATTGGAATTAACACAGAATTAAAGGATCGGAAAAGCGACCGACTAATTGGTCTCGATTACGCGAATTGGCACGAAGTTCGTACCACTAGAAACACGTGTGGCTTCTCAGCAGCATCTGCCCCACCTTGTTCAAAATGGAAATTAATACAAATACAATAACAACGGAGGCGTAGAATTAATTGCAAAGGTAGACAACCGTAACACACGGAATTCGAAACTTCGACGTGAACTCCCTGTGTCCCGCAGCAACAGCCGCGCTATCCGCAATTATTGAAAATTAAATTAAACCGAGAGGAACGAATTGTTTTCATGGAAACTCGTAATGACGTGACAATCGATATCGTAAGTGATGCTTAATGTTCAAGTGGAGAGGGGAAAAAATCAACGAATCCGATTGACGTTCTCGGGACGGATAAACCTCTGGCGCGTGTACTATTACAAAACAAAAATATTCGTGACAAAACCAGGTATCTAAACGCTAGTATACCGTTGTCAAATCGTGACAATCGTTGTACCAATTAACGCTAAATTCGAATCGAAAAACGAATTGTTCGCGTTTCCGCGCTGAAAACCTCGCGAACGGATGGAAAATAACCCCCTGCTGGGAATACGATCGTTTTTTATCCCGTTCGTGATCCACGCGTTATCGGTTTCACGCGAGGAATTATCGGACGCGTTTCGCGCGCGTAACCGAAAAATTGTAACACGGAAATATTAATACCAGTACGCGATGTTTCACGCCGCTAATACTTTACCGGGTGCAGATTATACAAAAACCAGAGAGCCGCTGTTGGCCTCGCTTAAAAATTAAATTGGACATCCGTCACGTCGATTAGCATATGCTCGTCCATGGGTGGTTTTAATCGAGCCAAATGCAATATTTGCCGTGTCAGCGAGTGACCACGGCGAATGCGCCACGGTATTGGCAGTGATATTAATTTCTACTTTCCATCAGACTGTCTGACCAATTTGTAATCATCCAGCGCAAGTAGATTCGCACGCGATTTAATACCGAAATTACGAATATAAGTGAAGACTTAAAACTTGCACACGATGCAAACTTTCACGTGTATCCGCTGCTTCAATTCTGAGTTCCTTGCAGAATAAGTTGAATTGGTCGTTCGTGTCAGATAAGTAGTGTAGGATCATTTATGGATCGACGAGTAACATACGGCCATTACTGTTGAGGTTAGTCGTGTATGATAGTCACTGGTCGAATGAGCAGTATGTGACAGTTACTGACCAGATACGTAGTATAGAACAGTCACGGATCAGACGTATGGATTAGAACTCCCGCCGGATCTGTAAGTAGAATAGGGTTATTAGTTGTCAGACGAACAAAATGATTTTATTTCTGGTCAGATAAGTAGAGTATCTAGCACAGTGTTAACGGCTAGATAAGTATAGAGTGTTTGTCATTAATCTGACAAGTAGAATAGGATCGTGAATGGACAGACACGTATAACACTATTGCCGCATAACTAAATATAGATAGAATATACTTGAATGTCTTGTGTGAATTAAAGACACACCGAATTCTGTCTCTTGTGAACTTATTTCGACACTGACTGCTACGTCATCCAAATATGGGTGATGTGTACATTGCAAATAGGCTGGATTATTTACATACCCGTGCAAAATTTTCCGTAAAATTAATAGTACAATTTAGAAAAGGACCATCAGCGCCTATTAACTAAACGCATATATTTTCGACGATTTATAACTTGAGAATCGAAATGAATTGTGTCTGGCTACGTGTATCCTTTTTCACTGTGTATTGAAAAAAAAGGAACAGAACTCCAAGAACGTATATTGGGAATTATTATACAAAAATTTGTATTTCTGTTTATAAATAACTTACCAAAACTCCACGTACACTCCGATCCCTGTAACTGTCCGCCGATGGCAACAGGCTGCTCGCTGATCCTTTATCTCCCCTATTCTCAATAAGCTATATCCGCGACCCTTATCCGGTGGTTTGGACAACGAACACGCTTGTCATTGGAATAGCTCGATGTTAAAACTCCCCTGCGTGTGTCCCCTAGAATAGTGTACAAATATCAAGGTATTGCTATAAAAACCGAGACGAGGAACGACGACTCTCGTGGTTCATTCGACCATAATGGTTTTCTTCAGCTTGTCCGAGAGATTCGTTAACGATACCTTTTAAATTCAACGAAACATAGGATGTAAGCCGCTTTCACTGTGTTTCAGTCGAGGATATGATCAAGGAAGTGGACGTGGACGGGGACGGACGGATCGATTTCTATGGTAAGCCGCAGCTCCGTGCCCGATCGCCATTTACCCCCGAGAGTTTCTAATAATCGGAGAAAAATATGAACGACTCGGTCGGAGGGTATACACGGTATTATTTCGTACCTGGCTCACACGGGTCGTGACCCTTCTGGGCTGTGTTTCGTCCCGCAATTGATCGACGTTGTAGCCTTTCGGAGCTAGAATTGGGGGAGAACGCGATGGTATTTCCACCGGTAAGGGTTTGGCCGACTTTTTGCAGACATGGACAGGAATGTTTCTCGTTTTTCGCGACCTCGACCATGAAACTGGCGAAAACACACGAGGAGCCGTCGATGGTAGGGCGGAGAATCGAAAGTAAAAAATCTTTTCGACTCCCTCTCTGCCGTTTTTCGTTTTCAGGAATCTTGCGTTGACGGAGCGAACGATGTGCAGCGTCATTCGGGGCGATAAACAGGAACACTTTCCCGCGTGATTTCGACGACGTTCCATTTCTTTCTTTTCGGTTGATGGGTTTCGACGAATGCTTCCACGTTTTCCATCTATTTTGTTTCATCGCATTCCCTCTCGCGTCCGACCCAATTCGAACAAGGAGCCTCGCATACGGAATAGCGTAACCGACTTTGATTTTGTAAGATCACTCTTAAATGCGGACTTAAATCTTACACTGATCGATCATGGTAGCACAAGTTCGGAACATTGATCATCTAGTTACCAACTGGTAGTGCATTGAATCACATATCAACTTGTATTATTTGAAAAGAACTAGGCAAAACATAATGATTAATATACAGAAATAAGTCAAAAATGTAGAATAAAACTTTTTAGTATGATGCTTCCTTTTCGACATAATCAAATTTGTAAACGTCTACATAGATATGTATAGTACGTCTCAATGTTGAGAATAAGTAGAAACAGAATGTAATTCTTCAGCCAAACCCTATCCAGTAGCACGTGTGTCCGGCAGATTTTCAAATTCGATTATCTCGACAACTCGAGATATAAAATATTTACGATTTTTTTAAAATATATAAAAACTTATAAAAATATTGTACTGTATATTTTAGACTTATATTTTCATGTAGAATAATCTTCCATTCGGTCGTGTTACCTGTTCTGACTCACCCAATAAATTAGATTGATAGGAAATCAATGACCGATCGCTGTTCATATTTGTAGTGCAATAATTTTATATAAAATTTACTTTAATTCTACAAAGTATTTCTAATTTGTTAGAAATTGACAAGACTTTATATATTTGAAACTTCTTGCAGTACTATTAAAAACCTTAACGGCCATTTACTTTCCACCAACGTAATAGATAGAATAATTTGAAACCAAAAAGCTACAAAATTATTAGCAATGAAAAATACCGTAAAAAACGTTACAGCCGCCAGGGGCTATCATTACGTTAAACAACTCTCCAACCCTTTGAACAAAGTATGCATGGGAGTAAAACTCACCAAGAATGTCACTGTTCCAGAATTCGTGCACGCTCTCGGTGAGCCAGGGATCGACGACGACGAGGAGGACGAGGACGAGGAGGTGCTGTCCCCGGGCTACTAGAATTTTATCTATTCTCGTCTCTGTGTTAGATAGAACGAATTAACAATGAACCAACGGCGACGAACGAACGTGTTCACCGTTTTTCCCCTCTGATATTCACTGTTCGCGGATACAGCGTGTCGCGTGCACCAATATTCGTCCGAATGAAGACGTTCGAATTACCGATCGTTCGCGTCAGACGCGTTTGTTGCGAGGAAAATATAAAAACAAGAAAATTGAAAACCAGAATATTTGGAAATCACGCTGACGCGGAAGATGGTTACGATTCGAACCGACAGGGTGTGCCACACTCTGGTACCGCAACGAGGTCACGGTACAGTTTTCGAATCCGATATTTCTGCCTAGCCGTGACGCTCGTTATCTTCGGTCAATGTCAGAGGACCCTCGTTTCGACAAATCCTAATCTCACCTCTACCGTAAGATCCGTAGATACAACGCCCGCTGTGATTTTATGTTACCCGATTGTTCGTTGGATTCGTCGACCGAGAATACTCTCTTTCACTCAATTATTCGAGCACCAATAAAACACTCTCAGATCTCTCGTACAATACGATTGGTATAGGATCGAATCAAGAGATATTCAGTAGATACTTCCGATTTCGCGAAATTTCGATGGACACAATAAGAGGATCTTTCTATTTTTCTTCTATTAAATGTTCATTGTAACGTTTTTTTTTTGGAAAAAATGGCGTATAAATTATACGGATTTGTTGGCTCTAACGAATAAAACGTGTGATGGTCCGGACGTCGTGCAATTTGCGAAACGAAGTAAAGCTCGCAGCGAACAACGGTGATTCGACATTTCGCGTAACATAAAGTTCCAGCCAGCGAGGCGTCTAACTTCTTTCGTTAACTGTGCTGAAAAAAAGTATCTACTGATAAATCTTCGTGAACTGTATTCGGTGGCTTACGTGATGTAATGAAGCGAGAAATCGGCGAGGGTAGGACAGTGATGGACATCACGTTTCACTCGAAATCCTCCCCGCCTCCTTCGTCGTGGCTGTTCGTCTTGATCTCTCGATGTACACACATACGATCTCGATCGTAATCGATTTTCTTCTAAGATATGTGGATTTTTCGATTTTACTCTCGTCTAATATAGATCGCATTGTTATCCACCAATAAAATATCTTGTAAGAACTCACGAGCACCGCAGCAAAACTGGACGTTACCTGAACGGAACAATGATCGTCGACGATCAGAAAGTAAAAAAAAAGCGCTTCTACTTTTGAAAAATTACGACTCTCGATGGAACGGCTCTCAGACGTTCCCCCCCTCAACCTCATTCTCGCCCCAACGTTTCGGGGCCGGAAACTTACCGCGGAGGCATTGGGACCTCGGTCGGAGAAAAGTTGCGTGGAATTTTAAATCGATCTTGATCGCTTCGCTCTCCTCGAGCTTCGTACTGTGTACCTTATTAAACGATACTTCACTCTTACGCCAAATAACAACCGACGCACGCTGTTTCAAATATTTTAAAGGGTCTAATAAATCTAATAAACTGACATTCTCTTCTGATCCATCCAGTCCTCCTGATTATACGATCCATTTATGAACTATTTTACCCTAAGTAATTCCGAGAAGTATTATCGTAAAGTATTTGGTGATGGTGAGTGAAATTGGTGAATAAGCCTAGAAATAAAAGAGACGATTGTTCGAGTCTATATTTAATGTAATATAAAGTATGAATATGATTTCTTTGAAGATGCAGAAAACTCGAATATTAAATAGTAATGTATTTTTTTAATGAAATTCACTTATTCATGTTTCACTTTAATGAAGTAGGTACTCATATTTTTATACAGGGTGTCGCGGGACGAATAGTACAACCAGGCAGGAAGTGATTCTATAAGAAGAAATACAATTTTTCCGGGTGATGCTTCGTTTTCGAGATAATCGAATTCGAAAATTAGTTGGACACACGGGAAATAGAACAGAGACTTGGCTAACGCGTCTGTTCATTGCAGGTTGTTTCTGCTTATTTCCAGTATAAATACGCGTGATTTAGATAAATGTTTAAACCCAATTTTCTCAAGAACACAATCTCGAACAAAAAGAATTTGTTCTCTTTTTGAATATTTTTAACCGTCGGTGTTGTAGATTCCCTTACTTTCTAAATAACAGTACATTTATAAAAAAAAGCAAGTACAAGTGAAATATCTCCAATTTCTCCTTAAAGAAGGTGGTTTTACCATCATGGAGTAATTTTAAATGCGAGAATCAATTTCGTTTTTATTGGTTGCGTCAGCGCAATAGCGAAGTCTTCTTTCCAGCATAATCACGTAGCTCCTAGTCAAAGGAGAATGTTTTTCCGTCGCTTCCAATTCCCGTGAAATCGGAGAAACGTAATGAAACGAGGCGGATATCCGATTTCCGTCGACGAACATCGGAGAGACCACGGATTTTTCTTAAACGTTCATTTTTTATTAGCGATAAATAAACTTACATATCTTTACAGTAACAACATCCTCTCGTAACTCTCGGAAAATATGGTAATATCTATCCGCGTAAATACAATATAGATCAAGACTTCCATTCTGTCGTGTTTCGTATAATCTTATATTCATGTCGCTTATGTATGTTTGTTGTTCGACCGTGTCCGCGTGTAGTCCGCGACACGTTCACGTCCCCCGTAACACGCTGATAAACAGACGGGCTCTTTACGAAAAAAAATACAAACAAAATAGAATTCTACGGCTGCGTGTGTATGTGTGTGTTTACAATGGCGGGCTACGAGCCTTCGAGAAGAAGCGCGTCATCGTCGCGTCCCGTGAACTCGCGCGTCACATCGCCACAGATTCAAATCTTTAAAGTTACTCGGCACGTTCACTGTCTAGATCCATAATTATCACTTTTCACACAGATGACGATCACTACGGAGATGTTGATATCCTCTTGATTATTACGAATTGTCATCCTTTTGATTTATTTTAAAAACAATCAGAGCGTCAGTACGCGCAATGTTCGTTGCTCTCAATCAAGCGTCATTTATAAATCTCTGAGATGCAATCGTCTCGTGAACGTATTAATAGGATATACACAGATATCGCATCGATTTAAATGATTTCACATGAATCTACAAATCTCGTATTCCTTTCAATAAATTGTACCAGTAGAATTCCGCTTATCCGAACGTTTTGGAAGAATATGGTTTATACATCTTGGAACTTTAGTAGAATATGGTTCGAATAGAAAAAATCACGGTGATTAAATGGTAGGATTCCTATATGGCAGTAACTTTGATTTGCAGTGATTGCAAGGACAATTAATCCGGGATTCAGAAAGATTAGATTCGAATAAAGGGAGTTCTACTGTAGTGTCGGAAGAAACGTCTCACGTGTATTTGAAGAGAAATTAGAGACACGTGAGGCGTTAGTTGGTCCGTGTTTTAACCAGACATTACCTAAGGCTACGTTTACACCTAGCAAACGAGCACAAACGAACGATTTTCCTACGATTTACTAACAATTACGATGAATCGCATTCGCTTGCGTTTCAGGGTATTTATTTATGCTTTCAGTATCATCCAGACGTATTCGTTCACTTCCGTTCATTCTCGTTCGCCATATGCAAACGTGGCTTAACAATAAAATCACTACTTACTACACTACGGACAGAATACAATAAAATAAAAACTTTCATAAAACCCGATAAAGTTTTTATTTTATTATCAGCCTAACACCCTTAATGGAAGAAGTAACCTCTTTCACTGAATTTCAGCTGCCATAAACTGTTCTAGAAAAATGTAAACTCGAATAAATATCCACAGTCTAGTGATAGCAATGTGCCGCCAAACAGTTCACAAACTACCGTAAACCTCCGTTCGCGTCTTTCAAGGCGAGTTCACGCGAGAGTACACGGGACGCGACAGCGACCGTGTTTCTACCGTCAGTTTACAATCCTAACAATAGCGAGCGTACAAACGTGTACAACTGTTGAACATAAAAAAACAAGAAGAAAGAAATCGAGAAACGTAAGACATTCGTTAAGTATCGAGCCGATGTAACGACCGTCACGCGTCGACGTCCGCCACGTCGCTTCGAGTTCCTCAGTCACGGACGTCCGGCTGTCTTACAATTTAAGTTTCTCCATGCCATCTAGCTTTTGCCATTAACTGGTCTGTCTGTTTCATTCTGTTCTCCCATCCTTTCCCCCGTTTGCCCCCGAGAACAACCGGATCCGCGATCCCAGCTAATTCATTTCCGTTTTACAATAATGTCTCGATGAGTGCGACGTATTCGGGTCCGCTTCTGAGCATTCGTGGGAAGGCGCAAAGTTTTTCAGACCCTTATAAATTTGTTTTTTTTTTACTCGAAGCCGAGCCTCTGCTTAATTTCTGTTTACTTTGTTTTTGATTGATTCCAGAGGGAATCCCACCAGTGGTGGGAATAACGCCGTTGCTCGTGTCGCATTCATCGAGGGATCATTGTACATCGGAATCGTATCATGTCGCGCGCGATTACCATCGATCTTCTCACCTCGGCGACGGAAAAAAAGGCTATACAATAGTCAAAAAATATGTTCCGCCAATGATCCCGAACAAGGCGATATATATATTTATACATGTATATTCATACGCACGTACCAGTTAAGAGGAAAAAGCTTTCGTTTAATGATATACCATGTTCCTTCGGTTTACTTGTCAGAAGCGTCTACATATGTACACCGTATTTATGAGTATGCACACGGGCGGGCGGGCGTATCGTTGTGTGCGTGCAATCCGAAGTACGGCACCGGCTGAGAATCAGCCAAAACCATCGGCCCTCGATCCCGTTTCTTGCCACCGCGACGATAATGAACTCCGTCTGGATCGTTGCCGTTTTAACGAAAATACACACTCTGTCGTCGAGTATTGGTTTCTGCCTGCGCCTGGCAATATATCGAATGTTCCGCGCGGCTAACTCCGTTCTCTTGGAGGTTAACGTTCCCGGATTGTCAAGGACGGCATTTTTCTTGACCGCAAAAAAATGAACGCCTTATCGATTCGGTAACGGTAACACAACCTCTGGCGCGCGTCTCTTCCACTCTTTATTTACGGTTTTTTTCAAAAGAGAATGTTCTGCCTCGCGACGGAATCACACGCGTTTCGATCGTCAAGAAAAAAGTGTACCAAAAAAGGAAGACACGTCTCGGCCGTTCTCTGGCGGCGGGTTCTCGCGGTTTAGAAAAAATTTTTTGTCTCAGTCGTACTAATCCTAAATTATCGTCGAAGCGAGACGCGTACATCTCGCATGGTTCATCGAATTACAATTACATATAAAAAAGGATCAATCGTCCGCCGTTAACTGCGCTGCAGTCCCGTTTCGAGCAGTCGAAGGTTTTGGGTGGCTTCTCTGGGGTCACTTCGTTTCCCGCGCTTTCACGCCGTTACCGGCGAAGTTGTCGGTCGAGTGACTTTCCTTTCCGCCCGGTAGGGGCGCTCTCGAATTGCGCGCGCGCGCGCTGCCTTCGTCGAGGGAACCTTCATTTCCGCGTTTCATCCCGTTTACCAGCAACGAAACTACGATTTCATTAGGCGAACCGTGCGTGGAAAACCGGGACAACCACACAGGGATCCTCTCAAGAAATTCCACGCTGTTGTCGTGTGCTCCGAACTCGAGAAGTACAACCGAAGTCTCAACATGTTGTGTATTAACGCTATAAGTGTCCTTAGGTAAGTAACATTTAACCGCGCACAACGTGTTTTCTTTTCCTTATGTAGTTTTGAAGCGATATCCTTTAGATACATACGGTACGCAACGACGCAGTGATACGGTCGAGGGGCTTCGACGTCTGTTACACCGGTCGCGTTGCGTTCGTTTCTTAACATTCGTGCATCAACGTTTCGTCTCACAGAACCAATTCTAACCGCCGATCGAGAATGTTCACACGTGTCGTCGCGCCGAGCGAGACAGTCAACGCGTGACGGTCGGTCCGCGATACATCTGCGATCCTGAATTGTCGGATAAAATTCTTAGACTGGTTGGCAAGCGTCGACCGTCTAAAAACAGTCAAAACACACCACTGACAAAGATAAGCGGCTCGGTGTAAACTGGCCGACGTGTGCGAACCGCTAGCGATTTTAATCGCATGGAAGCGAGACTATTCTTTCGTGTCTCGTTCGAGTGTCATCGATCCATTCGTCGCAATCCTTTGACCCATCGATCGCTTAACATTATCCCTCCGGTTTATGAACGTTCGCGGTGGCGACTGCTGCGGCAGCGGCGTACCGTTGTCGCCTTCTCCTGACGACGGAAAACGAGTGTGACGCTAGCTTTCGACGGCGATGCGAGGATGAGATCGAGGAACGATTGTAATCCCATCTCGCGATGGGTCTCCCTCAGAGGACCGGCTCTTCATCGGTCTCGTCGTTCTCCTCTTGCTCCTGCGATTGACACTGAACACCCGAGCCAGCCGACAATGAATTCGTTTTTAATCGTCGCTGCCTTTTCTGCTGATTGCTGCTACTGGCCCCGTTGCCGTTGCTGCTCACGCTGGAGCTGTTCGAACTGTTCCCCGTGTTGCTGCCGATCCCGCATGCGACGTCCAGGTCCGTTTGCAGTCTGTGGGCGTCTATCAACGGTCGAAGAGCGGATCTCAAGGACCACGAGAGACGAGGATAAGTGCGCTCGTGTTGGATGATCAATTCTTTGCTCCGATTTTGTTTCTGCGAAAGGAATTAGAATCGCTTTAGTGTGGACTCGACTCTGATACTGATTACTCTAGACAGAAGGAAAACAGGAATGGTAAGACTCGAAGGAGTGGTCTATGGATTGAGAACCATAAAAATGAGGTAAATGAAAACATTGTAGATAACCGTGAGGTATCTACAAAACTGTGCAGTATTAGCAAACGTTGCAGAAGTCGTAGAAGTGTTAAAAGCTATCGTGCAGATGAATCTATTTACACTGCGTTATCATAAGATTAGCGTTTACTGCGCATTTCTCTGTTAGTACTCTGTTAATGGACTCCAGAGTTCAAGAGATTCAGCAGAATTCTAAACAGATTTATGAAAATGACAGAAACATGATGCGAACACAGAGGTACAGTGCGACTAATGAATTATAAACGTATTTCATATGCAGGATAACAATTGCAAATCAACGAGAAGAAAAAACGAATACATTGCACAGTTCTCTATCCCCCAGCAATCGATCGATCTATAAAAGAGGAAGATGAAGGAATCAACGAAAACAATGGATGATTTAAGGTGACTAAGGTGTAAGTCAATTGGAGCAGGTCAAGTGCAATGACATCGGGGGAGTAATACGTGAGTTATCGATCGCGTCTAATTAAAGACGCGCGGAACGGTGACAATTGACGGTATAAATAGCAAGCTCACCTCGGGAAGGTCGCTCGACCTGGTTTCCCGCGAAGCCAACAGCTTCTTGCTCTCGGCAAACTGCCTTAATGATTTCTCTCTAACGTATACGAACGGTCGGACGACCCTGAGATCCTGTCGGCGGATGTAGTAGTGGGCCTTCATCGTTTTCAATTTGCCGCCGTGAAACACCGAGACGAGGAAACCCTCGGTGAGATCGTCTAGATGCTGGCCGATCGCCAGCACGTTGTAATTGTGTCGTTTGGCGATCGAGTATAGTTGCGCTCTTATCGTCCGATTGCAAAAGCTGCACGCCCCGTTCGCGTCCAGCGACTCCTCCGGTTGATTCTCCCCGGAGTTACATTTCGACTCAGGATTGTGCTCCTCGTAGAAATAGGGAACGTCTAAAGACTTCAGGTAGCTCATCATCTCGATCGGATCCAATCCGTTTGAGTCTACGGTGGCCGCTGCGATCTCGAAGTCCACGCCCTTTGATCTCGCGTAAAATCTATACTGATGCAACGTGTGCAGTAAAGTCAAAGAGACGTTGCCAGAGGCCGACAGACAGACCAACACTCTATCGTTGTCACGAATCATATCGAACTCTTGCATGGCCTCCACTGTCGGCTTCCAGACGCTCTTTGGCGACCTCTTTCAAGTCACTCGAGCATTCCTCGTCCTCCGAGAAATCGTCGGTCTGACGCACCTGTTGCTTGCAATTCGATTTACTCGACAAAGCGGTTATAGACGAAGCTCTTGGCTTGCGACCGTAGCTGTTCGCGGAATTCGATTCCGCGCTGCTACTGCGCTTCAAATCGACCGAGTCCAAGGACTTGTCGCTCTCGTGGAAGGATAGATTGATCCCGCTGTCCTGAGAACTGACCGAGTTCACCGCCGAGTAGATTTTCGGTAGAATCTTTCGCGTGTCACCGATCTCCAAACCGCCTCTCTCGTGGGTGTCGTCGTCGTTCAGATCATCGTCCAGATCGTGCACCACCTCTTCGTCATCGGTTTTCGATTGATTGCAAACCAGTTGCTCGTTCTCCGACGGTTTCATCACATATATCACCGTCTCGTCGGACGAACATTCGCTGGACATTTTGCTCTCCTGCTGCGTCAGCTCGCCGACCTTCCCCGAGATCTCGATGGGTCCGCTACGTCTGGTGCTCGAGAGCCTAGGCGACGTAAAGGACTGTACGGCCCTCCCTCTATCGGGTGAACCACATCCACTCGAGGAAACGTCGGAAGCAGACGCGTCCGGAGAGTGCCTGTGTAGCCCATCCACTGCGTTTACCATGCATCTGATCTCGGACTTCACCTCGCTGGCCATCTCTTTCGAGAATTCCATCAGATATTCGGCTATATTGCTCGCGGTGAACGAGTCGTGTCTGATCTGTTTGTCCTCGGCGGACAGTAGGCTGATCGCGCTGATGTTCCGCGAATGATGCTGCGGCGTGTTCTCGGACGTGTTGCTCTCGGACAGCGCATCGTCCACCTTCGATATTACTTCACGAATCTCTGATTTGATCTCCGTCGCGAGTTCCTTGGTCACCTCTTTTACGTACGCGCTCAGATCGTCCTCCGATCTTTGTCCACCGTTCGCGGAGATCGGTGACGACCTGCCGCCGCCCACGAACTTCTCCGTGTAGTCGCTCACGGAGGAGTACGAGGACGGCGGTGAGGCCGCGTTGTGATAGTTCAAGGAGAGGATCGAGTGACTCGGGCTACCGTTATCGAGCTCCAGTGAATTCAACTCGGTCTGACTGCTGCAGCTGCAATGATGCCGCCGGGGCTTCGCGGGGTCCCGATTGTTCCCGCTCAATCCTAAACTGGTTAGAGTTTGAGGACTCAACGGAAGCGGCGGTATAGGGGAGGAGGACGAGGACACCACCTTGCGATTCTCAGCACCGTTCTCCCCGCCACCGGTGCTGCCGAGTGAATTGCACCTGGCACGACCAGCGTTGGCAACGTCCATGAGATCTCGTTGCTCTTTAATTGGCCTGTTGCCTGGGTGTGACATCGCGGCGAGGATCGAAGGCGTGACCACCTCGCCAACGGCGAATCTCACAGGCATCGGTGAACTCGGGCATGTGGCCGGTGATCTCTGACCGGCGGAATCGTTATTCTCGCGATGATTTCGATCGGTGCTCGTAGATCGTTCCTCCTCGTTTCCGCTGCTAGCGCTCGAGTAAGACGTCTGAAACTCGACCGCGCTCAGCAGGGTCCGCCTGACCGTGCTCAACGCCGGAAGACTACGATGTCTGGGCGACGTGGACGAGATCGGTACGTTTCCCGTTCGTGGAATGTCGCTGTTTAGTCGACGTATGCTGTTCGCCAGGGCCAAACAGTTCACCAGACTGTCGTGCGTGGTGGTCGGGGTGTTATGACCGACTCGATTCAACGACAGCATCGGATTGAAAGGCACGTCTTGCTTCACGTTCTGCGAGTTGCCCAGCAACAGATCCTGGGCCTCGCTGGGCAGCATGAACCATCGCAAAGCCTCCATACGCTCGGACACGAAATTGTAGCTACGATCGATCTGCAAGGGATATCGCTGAGCCATTTTCCTGGCCCGATTGAAAATATTTCGCGCGGTTTGCAAACAATCCCCGTAGTTCTGCGGAAGAACACCTGACCCCGACACCCTCCTCTCGGACGCGTTCATCTTCCCGTCGGTGTATCTGATCGAGCTCAGCCACTTTCGCTCCTTGAACACGCTGTTCGTGTGATGTCGCCACTCCCCCGTGTCCGGGTTCAATACGTACTGCGGCAACAATTTCCAGCCCTCTGTGGCCACCATTTTTAATGCTTCCAAAGCGAAAGCGACCTCCGCCTCTGACATGAAGTACGGAAACGATAGTTTCGCGAAGCCTGGCCGCAATCCCTCCGCATTACTCTCCTCGTTCTCTGTGTTTCTCTCGCTGAAAGGAAGCAAAGTCGAGTGTAAACGACCGATGTCCCTACGGGGGAACCTGTAATCGATAACACCGTGTCGGTTTTCAATTTCATACCCCTCTACGAGCACTTTCTGGTACTCCTTGGCGAGTTCTTGCTCGATTCCCATCAGGTCATGAGCGTAACGACCCGCGCACGCGCAGCCGCCCCGCGCCTGAATCCCGAACACGTCGTTCAGAACGGCGCACACGAAGTTGTGATGAAGAAACGTGCCCCGCGGGTGACGCACCATGAACGAAAAGATTGGTAGCCTCTTAACATTCTGCGAGCCGCTGCCGAGCAGAATCAGTTCCGGAATCGTGCGCACGTGGGCCAGCACTTGCCTAAAGGGGGAAAAGAAGCGAGCACGTTTTAGTATACGAACCCCTGAACCCGATCGTCTTTTTTTTTTTTTTTACTTTAACGGGAACCATTACGCGATTGAATGTCTTTTTACCTGTCGTCGCTGAACACTTTGGCCCAGTTTGGGTAAATGAAGGCTAAATGTGATAAACGATCTAGATTTCGTTTCCTTGTTCTGTAGACACTGCCATATTTCTCTGGTGGACGGGCGCGGGAGTGTAAGTCAGATTTATTAGTTTCGAAGAGGAGCACCTATAATATTTAATTCTGACTTATACTTTCGTTCCCGCCCACTCTCTGGTAGGTGAACACAGGAGTGTAAGTCAGAATTACTAGTTCTGAAGAGAAGCACGTACAATATTGAAAAGAAAGCCTGAATAAACTATCGGAAACCTCTCACTGTAGGTGAGTTTAAAAGAATTACTTAATCTATACTCAATCGAAAAGACAAAACATTATCGTATTTCGCAATTAAAATTCCCCTACCGATTCGACGTACGATAAAATGTATTTTTATCCGTCAGCTCTTATCCGTATTTTTTTCAACAAACGAAACACTCGTCTCTTCGCTAACGTATGTTGCAACAACTCCAATCTACAAGTCGCAACGTCTTCGCCCACGTGCGTAGATAAACTATAAGTGGCCAATCGAACAGACGTCAATCGGTCTCGAGGTAGCGTCCAAAACCGGCCAAAGCGTATTTAGCGTGCTGTACCTATGTAATTGTGAATGGATTATTTTAAGAATAATCCCCTACCTAGAAATCTTATCTTGACGGGCGACGATAGCACGCGGCGTGACGTTCTCCTTCAGCTGAACAATCACGATGGTAGTGATGGGAGTCCCGCATGTCTTCCGTGCCAATTTTATCCTTCAACAGGGACCGTTTGGTCACGAGCACGCCGGGGGATTGAACTCCGCCGATGAACTTGTGCCCGGCGAATATGATCGCGTCCTTGTGCACCGCCGTCTCGCCGACGCCCGGTAAATGGGGATTCATGTCGATTTGCACGTACGGGGCTGAAAGATAGGAGTGGAAAATTCACGTGGTGAGAACGAACGGCGACGAGGCACGATTAATCATTCACACGATCGGACGTTCGGTGATGGACAGTTGTCGATAATGTATACAGGGTGACCTGGAATAAGTGGGAAATATTTTAGGGGTGGTTTCAGCACAGCAAAACGATAACAAAAGTTCATATATATTTTCGAGTTATGGCGAATTTTGTATCGTAATAATTCTTTGGATAGATTGACGTAGTGGCAGTTAGTTTTCCCAACTGTTGCAAAGAGAAAATAAGACATTTACGTTGTCATTATTTTTTGCAGTTTTTAAAATGGAAAATTTTATGAATAAAGTCCGATGGGTTTTTACTTGTGGGGTTATTTGAAATTCATTGTGAACAGCTCGTGAAAGAATATCTGGACATATGGAGTGAGTAAAAGAGTTATTGGTAAGACGTCTTCAGGCTTGTATTCAGATGCGAAATCATTTCGAGCATCTCTTATGAAAGTAAGCAGATAGAGTTTGTTCAAAATCAAATCCGCTGTAACTCGAAAGCAAGGTCAAATAGGATATAATAAGGTAGTATGAACTTTTTTATCTGGACCCCAGTGCCAGAGTCAATTAAGTCCACTTTTTTGAGAAACTGACATTTTACATGTTTCTCGTATCAAATTTTTCACTCTTCCTAATAGTAAAAATGATTTCGTTCTAGGTTGTTAAGTTCTTATAATTACAGTGTGAAAATGATTTTAAGTTCGTATCTTGTTCCGAGCCAAACAATGTAAAATCTATCACATAAGGGATTCAATGTAATGTCCACCATTTCTACACATCGAAACTCGTCTTAAGTCCATTGAATAGTTCAAATGTAGCGATTGTTTCTCGTTGAATTCTTAACCAAACAGATCCAAAGTTACAAGGTTTTTGTACCTTTGATTCGCTCTCCTCTAAAGTTTGAAAAGTGTGACTTAATACACTCTGACTATGGAGTTCAGATTTATTGTTTAGATGTGCTGAAGTCACCACTACAATATTTCCCAGTTATTCTGGGACACCCTGTATATAATCAGTTTGTCCCGAGACTGAATGGCTCGAGACGATAAATGGAATGTATTTTTATCGCGAACGGGGACAGACATCGGCGTCAATCCTCGATATCATTTATTGTTTCGACCTCTGTGCACGGGCTTCTATCGGCCGGTGATCGTTACCTGCTGTAGTGTAATCCCAGACGCTAAGTGCACCGTACTGGTGCAGCAGAAGGGTCGTGGCGACGTCATCTGCCAAAACCCCGGTTATGCAACTAGCAGCACTGAAGCATCCAATCATTTGCGTAACACCCTCGGCTCGCACGTTGACCAGTCTACGCTCGAGATCGTTCAGGTCTAAGAAGCCCTCGCGGGTCTCCGAGACTCGTATTATCTGTGATCATCAATGAAACATTATTATTCGGTTTTAGACAGGGCGTGGTCGCAATAATTTTACGATTGGGTATCGGGTGATTCCTCGTACGAAAAGATAATATTGATCAAACTTATGGTAATGTGGGTCGATATTAAATTACATTTGATAGTTAATAGGGTTCCAAATTTTCCGATTCAATCTTGGTTTATTAGAGAAAAATTAGGAGTATTATTCTTATATTTCACGATTCATGTAATATTATTATGTTACATTACATATAGGGTGTTAATAAAAATGTAGGACATATTCACAGAGTGGATTCTACATTCCAAATTAATCGTAAGATGAAAATCAATAATGATGAAATTGTATTCTAGGCTTCGTTTTCGAGTAATTTATTGTTAAAATACGGGTAGACTAGACATGAAATATGTCTGGCGCGATAGGTTATACTACTTGAACAGACGATTCCCAGCTGATACGCGGGTTCGATCGATGACCCAGTGAAAACTAATGAACGAATTAAAATGAAATGGACGGAGGTAACTCGTGGAACAGTTGGAGCGCGCTCCTCTCAAGGAAAATAAGACATACTTCACGCGTATCTCGTCAGTATTTTCAGCAATTAATTATTCGGAAGCAAAGCCTGGAGCGCAATTTCGTCATTCTTGAGTTTCGTTTCAGTTTGTGAAAGTGCTCTTCATTTGTATTAACACCCTATATATTATATTATAACCTAATAGAAAGTTTTCTTCAATGGGGCTTTGTTTAAAAAAAATGTAATCTTTCGCCTTGAATTCGTCTACGGAATACGTCCTGGCTGTTGTGTCTGTCCGTTACTCACTGTTTCTACTGACTGTAACGGATGACCGAATGCACATGTGTCGGATAAAACTTCAAAATCGTATTTTACGAATACAAAGATTACTGTAAGTACACCTCTATTGTATGTTTTCGATTTATTTTTACACGAGGAATCATACCATGGCCCGTTGTATTATTATTGCGGCTACACTCGGTATTTCTGCACATTCATTTTTCAGTGTGTATATTTATGGAATTTTTGGATGTTCTTGAAATACGTGAGTCAATGTTGGAAGTCGATTCCGTTAAATATCGGAGGGAGATTTAATCTCGGCTAATCATGTCGAATAAGTTTGAATATAAACGAAAGTTAGGTCTCGATTAAGCGTCCCAATTGAGCTGAATTACATTTGAAGTTATATTTAATCCGATCTGATTTAGATCTTACTCACAAGCTAATGTTACTTTCATTGAATATTTATGTCGACCTAAGGTCTCACGTTCATCTAAATTTCCTATGTGTTTTTTCTTTGAAAATGAAATTAAACGGACAAAATTTAAAAGTACCCTTTCAATCCTTTTAAAGTGCCAACATAAGATTGTGCCACTTCGGTCTAACACTCCTAAGAGTTTCAAGTTTAAAGCCCATTAAACTGCTCCTCAGCGTGCACCCGAACGTACTGCTCGCGCCAAAGTAATACAAAACCGCTGGGCAAATTCATAAGAGTGTAACGCCAGAATAAATCCCCCGGCAAAGCAACTACACCGAAAATGGCGTTGCACCGCGAAAAACAACTGCCAGACTCCCACGTGCCATAACTCGTGAAATGCTAAAACAACCCCTCGAGAAAACATCTCCACCTCTAAAAAAAGCACATTCAACAGAGACCATTTCTCTGCTGCTGTCTGTAAAAGGGCAACAAAAAAACCAAGCCACGTGTTTCAAGAACGGTTTACGCATCTTCCACCAGATACGGATCCCTGGACTCGAAGAAAAGAAACATAAATATGGTGTCCTCGGTGGAAGCGATATTCGCAGAGTCAAAAATATTCTCAATGAAACACCGTTCAATGTCTTCCGCGACATTTGAATATCCCCACCCCCCGAGTGTGGGATCGAGCGATGGAACGAGAATACTTTCGACTCATCGACGACAAATCCCCACTCTGTCTCTCTTCCTCCGTGTGTCCGAACGAAAACTCGGGCGCGTGCCCCCATGAATAATGTTCTTACCCTGACGCCGTGTTCCCGCCAAGGACGTAAATTCGCGTGATGCTCGAACGGGCCCACGAACACCACCGTGGACTTTGTGAGATCGAGGTGTCGCAGGAACGCGCGAAGGGCAGCTGCCGTACCTTGACCCGTGAACAACACCGCATCCTGCTCGCCTGCCCCAACCGCGTGCCGCACGATGTCTCGAGCCTCGTGTCTGCAAGCATATACATACGTCGTCGTCAGGATATATCGATTCGTCCTTCCGTTGACGTGCACCGATCGTAAAAGAATCTCGGCTGCCGGATCGCGCGCGGCAGATTCCTCGGCCGTTTTAAGGCCACTGCGCGAGGTCGACTTACCGCCGTAGACCGCGATTCGTTGAAACGTCTCTTAACGGAAAGGTCAGCAATGCGATTTACATCGAGCGAAAAAATTAACGACGGGGGAAATTTCGTCCGTGCACGGGGAAACCTCGACACGGGGGTCGTTTCGTCTCGAGTTTGTCGGTATAGTCCTTGTGAAGATATAGCGTGGTGTCGTGAATTAGCGCCTTGAGACGGCGACAACGATTCATGTCGCCGTACTTGGAACCGTATGTCGGCTTGCAGCTGGGTTCTATGTAATTAATCCTTTAACGGTGAAATTTTGTTGCAATATTTCATTCTTGAGCGGATTAGGCTTTTGAAAATGGTGATTAATGTTTTGGGATCTGTACCTAATTAGGTACCTCTTAGGAACCTGATTATATTTCGATGTTTTTGAGCAGAACAGCAGATAGAGTTAATGTGTTGATGGAAATTTAAGTCTTGGACATCTAGAAAATTTACTGATTGGGAATTATGAATATAAGTGTTGGCAATTTTAATTGTGATAGAGCCGGGAGGGTGGTTTTTACTGGTGAAAACTATAAATTCTGTTTTGATAAGGGCCAGATATAATCGGAGTTGGCAGAGATGAAGTTTTACCTGAAGTGTTATGTTTTCAATGGCAGTGATGACTTGTTGATCCAGATAATCCAATTTAATAATTCTTGCAATTATGATAGCAACAGCGATCGAACCGCGAGAGCGAGGAACGATTCTACGAGTACGAACACCGACGAAAATACCGGTTCTGTTTCTTTATGCTAGAATCGACGTTTGGTACAGTGATCAGAGAAAGTTAGAAATTTATACTTTTAGTTGAACGCGTTTGTTATCTTTATCCATCTGAGATATGGTCCATAGAATATATAAAATGTTCTGTTTCATGTCTGATTTCACGTGACGCATGTTATCTAGATGGGTTAAAAAGAAACAAGAATCGCTTTGAGGATTTTTCGGTGTCAGAGAATGCGATATCTAGAGTTATCTGGAACTCGAGGTCACGTAAGGTCGTTGAACACTATTTTTCGGATTTAACATCCATATGGATATTCACGGGTGTTTTTAGACCAAAAAGTGTACCAATTGTGGATCGAGAGTCTTAATTACTTGGGTATTTCTGACTAGTTAGACTCGACATGTCACAAGTATATGTTTATACATACGTACAATAAAGGATTTGGCTCAAGCTAGTAAAGAACTGAATCAAATAGAATATATTTAGAAAGTCTCTTGAATTTAAGGAACTATTTCTTCACTGTAATAAGTTTGCAAGAGTTTGAAAGAAGTCAGTGTATTTTAAGATACATCTGAATTCAAAATTGTATGCAGTGAACTCATCTTCCAGAGATAATATGCACGTGGTGGTCTAGAACATTTTCTTACGAAGAATACGGAATAAGTCACTTAACATAAAAAGACACGGTTGTTGAATTGACGTGTCCGCGAGAGTACACGTAGCAGTTGACGCAAATGTTTTTCTAAACCATGCATAAGTACTAAAATGCTCCAAAAAATTGTGCATACTCAATAATTTTTCTTCCACATGTCAATTCGATAATTAAAGTGCCCTCAAAAAAATTCGTCCCTATTTAATCATTTTCCTTTAATAACGCATGGGGAATTGATATCAACAAATGTAGAAGCTTTTTTCTCTGTGTATGAAACAAAAATTGTTATCTATTAGGTCAATTAACAGTTCTGATAAATATTAATCGAACTAGCATCAAGATAACACACATTAGTGTTTTTTCTATATTAATTGTAGGATAGAGACAAATTATCTTACAGCAATTTCCTAGTATTGCATCTCTAAGACTATCTGCATTTTCTTCATAATAACAAACTTATATAACATCGAAAGGATAGACTCACCAGTTAATTGAATGAACAAAAGTAAAGATACATTGTGACGATCAAAATTCATTCTTTCCATCTTCATAACCTAATAAATTTTCAATGCGAAATATTTGCGTCTGTATCTTAATATCACAATACAAAAATACGGGTTTTAAAAAATACCCTTTCCAGTAAAATTGTTATCAATAATCCATACGAGTGTTAAAACCTCCATCCAACAGCTACAATCAATGATCTCCACCCAAACCTATTAATCTCCATCAAATAACAAATATTTTCGCTACAAATGTGGAACAAAGCAAACGAAACAAATTCCAAAAGTCGCGCGATACTAAACCGTAATCGTTGTTGTAGTAGCGTAACGACTGGCCGGCTGATAAATGTTGGGGGGCTCGAGTCACTGGATATATTGATCTGGGACGTCAGCGCCACCCCTAACGCTCGGCTGCATAAGATTTAAGGAAATAAAGGGGCCGTTTCGGCCCCACCTGCACGTTCCGAATTTTAGGTTACACCAATTCTAGGTTTCTGTGCGTAAGAGAATTAATTAAAAATTTATAACAGAATACATTACCAAAGGATTCCAGTGCGAAAAAAATACCCTTCGAGCATGTTTCGAGTGTCGAACCGACACGCGTGCAAGTAAATCGGTCGGAGTGACACGGACCCGCGAGCATAATTCCGAATCCGTGCGAAATAGAAAGGCGAGAACTGTCTCGAGCGGCGCAGAGAACGAGTCCGCGGTTTATCGCGGAAACCGTACGTCAGCTCGGAGTCGTACTCGCATGCTAATTTCGCTGTGTGCATAGAAAATCGATAATTAGAAATTCATAATGCGCCTAGCGTTTGATACTTTCCAGAGCTCGCTGTTATATGGCATTCGAGCTGGAACGTTTCAGAGCTCAAAATAATTAATCTTTCAGTTACAGCGTTGTCCAAGTGAAATTAATGCAACGACGACATGCTTCGCTTTCCCCCGTGTGATTATCACTGGGCTGTGTTATAAACAACTTTCCGTCGTTCTTTCAGTTGAATTTATTACGCTTCGAGACGGCTTACAAGTTCACACTTTCGCCACCGTGCTGTTCTGCGTCGACTGTTGCAACGATTTCTTTTCCTTTTAGTATTCGGTCATTTTCAACAGCTTTAATCGTAGTTTTCGCTTTGTGTTCTGAGGGGCTAATTGAATGAAAGAAGAATTACACAGAAATGTACTTGTCTGGGTCCAATGTTGGATTAAATTGAATATGATATGGGAACATTATTCAGTTTTACTAAGAATCTATGAAATGATACACTGCCTGGCGTAATTATAAAATCAATTTTCATGTATTGTGGTTGAAATAAAAACAAACCAAGTATGCCATGTCTGAAATCGTGTTGCGAAATAACGTTTCTCCAGAAAAGGATAGATTATATTCCCTAGAAAAAAGTGGTTCGTTTTTATTTTAACCAAAGTACATAAGGACTGAACATTTTTAGGGTGGTTTTATAGTTATGCCGCGCAGTGTATATTTGCATAAAATGTGCAGTCCCTTTTATAACTGAACCCAATAATTTACTTACTTTAATCCAGATACTATACATATAAGTCCATTAAAAAATGTATCAATTTCAGATACCGTTTTCCCGAAAATTGAATTCCTCGTTTCATGAAGTATTTCGTAATGTTGAACAATTCCTCACTGATTCGGTAATCAATAAACTTCGAAGATTTATGCAAATATAGATTTTCCTAGACTAATCTATAAAGATAAGAGTCAAATAGGAATTTGACAAATGGAACTGTGCCTAATATTAGACAATCGTGTATCCCGTGAATACATAAAGCCTGCAGTCAACTAATTATAAAGCGATTACATACTCTGCAACTTTCTTAAACATTCCATCAATTCTGAACAGTACTACCAGTGCCCATTAGATTAGCAAACTTCCTCTTCAATTGCCTATTACGAACTCGCTGAAAGCATCGACGAAGTATCGCCTGAACGGTTCCTCAACTTTTGTAACGTGTTTAAATATAGCGACTGGATAAATGATTCACGGGGCTGTCCATCAAGAACCGGCGTGTCGAAGCGTTCGATCGGTGGCGTGGCCACGGCCAGGAAAACGATCGTCCGCCGACGGAAGATGGATCGCGAGTTGGTTCAATTCCGCGATTAATAGAGTAACCCGTAACTGGAATTGGTTCTGGGAAGCGGTTGGCTAGAGGACGCGGATGTGTCGTTAGCTGCGCGGGCATGCATTAATGCGTGGACGCGTTGCGTTTGCGACCTCGATCGTTATCGCGATCGTTCGATGGTCCAACGTCGCGAGGAAGAACCTCTTCTTACAATTCCATTCAATCATTTATATTGTCGCTGGTAGACTGTGGATATTTTTGCGTTTATAGTACATCTTACTGTCTAAAATTTAGTACAGCAAATAGTTTAATAAAACTTAATCCTCCGTGACCCCCTGGATTTTTTATGGCGCACGCAAAATATCGCACTGAAATATCTATGAAACGAAAGAATTGTTATTAAAAAAAATCTTTTAACATTCAACTTTTAAAACTATTGGATCATGTAATAGAGACCTTGGAAAGTATCCTGGAATTTGTTCAGATTGTTTGGAAGCCTACAAGATAAAAATAAGTAGGTCTAGATATAAGAGATCCAGGGGGCTGATGGAAGCAATAAAAATAACGGAGGTCACGGGGGGTTACGTGTGCTTTCTGTTTTAATCGGAACGTAAAAGAATTATTACTGCAGTGGGCTAATTTCTGCACGTTAATGTATGAATATCTGTACTTGCTTAAACATTCGACGTCTAGTCATGAGGTTGAAGTCCACATCAGCTACTGTAGAAAATAGGTATGCGAATTTTGTTTAATAACATCGTGAATCACTGAGAAATACTGAACACGGATAGACTGAAACGTTTTTGCGTGACACACTTTTTTGTCGATTTAGTAAGACTTGGTTGGAATTGATTGTACAGTATCAGATAGTATCTTCGATTTGGTCTATGTATGTGACCTTGAAGCCGTAGCTATCCACGAGGTCGATTGGGTAGCAGTCGATGTGGAAGGATGTGAAGACTCGAGATTCCAGTAAATCGTTTGAATTCTTTACGATAAGAAAATCTGCGCTCGTCGACGTTTATCGAAAGTATATTTAAACAGAATTTCAGTCTTAATCATGGCTTAAACGTTGCAATGTAATTTCCACACGATTGTCACACGTACATTTACGAATGTACATTTCTTTTCAAATGACGACAAACTGGTGATACAGCGGAACTGGTGACAAAACATAATGAAAAATAAGTCGAATGTCTACGATAATAGTATTATAACTACAGCTTTGTTTTTCAAAAAAATGTCAGTAAAAATTGTTCCGTACATAAGCTATTAACACTGTAACTACCGAAGATGAACGTGCCTCTATTTCTGTGACGTTGGTAAAAGGGATAGCTTGGTGAAAATATAGAAATCGATAAATTAACGAAATTCTTAAGTTGTATGTCGTAATAAATATTGCGAAGAATCTGAGAAAATGTTATGTTGTGATATATTAATCATTCCTACAAGAGTTTACGAACCAGTCGTATTGACCGCTTTAGCAGTTCTAGCGTTAAAAAGCAATTGGGTAATATGTCTGATCATGATTCGCTGCATCTACTTGTGTACACAAAACGATCATCCAGAGACCAAAATCTCGAACAAAAGAAACTTTATTTTGCATTTTCGACTGTATTTTTGCATTTTGACACAAGACGATCATCCCGAGAACAAAATCTCGAACGAAAAAAACTTTCTTTCTCATTTCCGACTTATTTTCAACATAATTCATGAATCACTTCCGTCCGATTGTACCACGAACTTGTCCAGGCCCGTAAATCTCATTTCCTTAATGTACTGCTGAAAACAATTAGAGAACCACATACTGCAGTCACTGTATCTGTCAATACTGCACAGAATACCTGAAAAGCATTTTACAAAACTATCGTCAGTATCGTGCAGACAAGCTTTCCGTTTATCAAATCTATATTCATTTCTTTCAATGGATTGACGCAACAAAACCGCCCACAGTAGCGATCCTTTGATGATCGTGATCAGTGTATACTATTCGACTACAAACGAATCTCTCTAGTCTCTCTTCATATATACGATGTCTCAATCTTTCTATACACGATCCGCTTACCTGAACAAAGATGACTGCAGGCTGCAGATCGACGTGGATGCGCGGGTGTCGCCCAGACATGGCAGCACCTCCTTCGCGATGTACTCCTCGAGGAATTGCAACGACCTCCCGGAGGCGGTGTAGTCGCAGTAGACCACTGTAACAAGAATTAGAGACCTGGGTGAGCCGTGTGCAGACAGAAACGGATTTCCCCTGACTGGACGAGTTCAGTCGCACGGGAAATCGATCGTCGCCCCGAGATAACATCTCGTCGGACGTGTGTTTTATTCATGGGGTGTGTGTTTCTATGTTATTCCTATTTCCCAGGTAGCGCTTTATAAATTTCTTAATTTTAGCGTCTACTCCACCAACAGGAACCCCTTTAAATATTAGTCTCAAGCAGGGGATGAGACAGTTAGAAGTCGAAGACTAACAACGTCACAATGCTACTCTCTCCAACCATATATCGTATCGCTGCTTTCCTGTCGTTTATTTGATCGTTTCCCCCCATCGGCCCCGTTCTCAACACCGAAATAGTTTTCAGTCAACAGAGAAGTTGCGGTTCGGCGGGACGACGCGACGGTTTGTCATTATTCGCGACTGTCCGTCGCCGTCGTCGAAAGACTGCAATCTCGGCTTATCGTGATCTATTCAGAGATGTACAGGGTGTGTTTAACACTTTGACTGCAACGTCACCTGAATATGGGTGACACGTGCATTGCAAAGAGGACGGATTATTTAAATACCATTACAAAAATTTGTTTGCGAAAAATTAATATTGCGGTATAAATTAGAAGAGAACCAACAGTCTCTATTAACTGAACGAATTTCCGACGATCTATGATTTAAAAAAGGAAATAAAGCGTGTCTGGCTACGTACGGCCTTTTTCGCTGTAGCGGTCAATGAGAGTTTGTATGACCTGGAAAGATTTGTTTGGCAGGAAAAATCTGGTTGGCAGTAATTTATGTACTCAATATATAACATGTCTCAATAGATGAAATACTCGTGTTGTATTTAATTTTAGAAACATTTAATACCCTGTATGCTATATGCAGCTTGAGCTGTACCCAAGAATTACATTGAGAATAGGATTCCCATCACACGTTCAATATCGCCATTTTGTTTGGAACCATTTCATCACAGATCTCATCAGATTTCCAATATTCTATTAAGTATAATGTATTTACTTCTTCAATGAGGCATTAAAAGCTTAAAAAGGATGTAATCAATAATGTAAATAATATTATAAGAACTACAAAAACTGGATGAACATTCTAGACTTTGGTAGCGGTACATACTAAATACCAATAACAGGGTACTCCTTTTTAGATTATCCCACCCGAAACAGTAACAAAAACCTTTGTTCTATAAAAAAATACAAAAAAAAAACGTTAGTGACCTTTAAATGTCTTTAACGCCACGCGTTCAATTTTCCTCGACGACGAATCGTGTTTACCGAATGGTATCAAGGTCGCCGGCAATATCTACAAAACAGGAACGGTTTCATTGGCACAGTTCGTCGGAGCACAAGAATGTCCGTGGCACGAAAACAAGGTCATCTTTGCGTGAACTTTTTTTTTGCCCCCTCCATATTGTTTTTATGTGCTGAATCGATCTCGATATCGGTCTTCGCAGCTGATGGGTCGTGGGTACACTCTGCACATCGTGGTCCGGGCGTCGAGGCGCGGAAGCTGCCGGCTATTTCCAGCCCCGGCCAGCGGGAGTTTACCAGAAAATGGCAAATGTTTATTCAGGAACGATGAACGCGTTTCACTCGGCGTCTCTCCGTTCCCGCCAGAAATGGGACGCGTATGTATGTAAACTGTCGTCCATAAGCTTGGAACACCGTTCGGTGTTTAGAAAGCTTGCTCTCTTGCGAATATTTATTGTACGATTGCAATCTTCATTCTGAGCCGTGCTGGAGGAATTTCGTGTCAGTAGGCAGTGTTCTTAATGAGATTAATCACGTATGCATGGTGTATTCAGGAATTGCGGTGGAAACGACGAAGAATACCTTCTATGAAAGTCAAATGAAAATATGGAATACAATTTTACACAGTAATTTTTGTTAAAAGAATATTTATATACATTGTGACTTTGATCGTAAACCGTATTTGAGGAATTTCCTCTTAATATGTGGTATTTTCAACAGTAAGCTGAGTAAAGCATCGTGGTGCAACTGAAAATAACCAGTAGCATTTTATTCACAAACTATATAAATTTTCATAAAAAGAATTCCAGGGATGTTAAATCCTACATCAAATATAAATTATACAACAAATAAAATGATACCCCGTACTGGGAACCTGCATTTCACATTGCAAAATCACTTTGTTCTCCGTTCAACCACAATTCCAGATACATCCTACATAAAAAGCAGTTCCGTACGTCCAAATAGAGAAGAGCATTACAGACCTCTCCACGAGTATACCTACGTCTGTACACGAAACGTTCGACGCAAAAAAGGATTCTGCAAAAAATCCTCTTTGAAAGCGCGAGAAGAGAGAGCCAAATCGCAGCCGAATGCATCGGTTCGAGAGGGTGGGGGATTCGGACCGAATAGCCTTCGAACGGTTGCGAAATACTTGGATTAGCGTATAGAAACGGGCGGCTATTCTGTTCCATTGATCGCGAGCGAGGAGGACGTGCGGGGAATGGCGGTTTCGCGAGGGCAAATCGAATCGCTATATCGTCGGGGAAAGCCAAGGTAGGCGAGGGATAATGACTCGCAGGTGTTTCTTACGAAACACCACCAGATCGACAACCGGTCCACGCTACGGGCGAAATTATGCCCGCGCGCGACTTTCGAAGCGTTTAGGCGCGAGGGGGGTGAATCGCGCGTTGATTTTGTTTAGGAAAAAACGCGGAGCCAAGCGAAATTTAACGACCGATTTCGTAACCACAGAGATCAAAGGTACTTAAGAAAGACCGGCCTGATGAAGATCGGAAAGATCGACTCTTGAAAAGATCGACATGGAATATGTCCTTTTCCGATAAACCGACTTTTCCCAGCGTTGATCGACGGAGCAAATATTGGAGTAAAATCTATTCTCTAATCGTCTTACTTTACATAACGCGAACACTCACCTATCCCCGATGTTGGAAATAGTATGACTCGTATGTGGATCAAGCACGATACAGACCTCCGGTGACAAAAATCACCCTGGCAAAACGAACCGTGAGAAATGATCGAAATACCAAATCGGAATATCGAATTGTGTTTTCGTGACAATAGAAATTCCCGATCCGTTATCGGGCTCGGTGGAATTAGAAGATAAGAATCGTAACGTTTCTCCGTGTCTAAACTTGGCGTTCGACGAATGAACGCTTATAAATTGCTCTCATGAAGTATCCACGCTGTAACAGCAGAAAGTGGCAATTTAACCGCTCGATTCATCTTTCGAGCCGTCTTCGTGATACTGTACAGTGACGTCAAAATCACGTGGTACCCCGAGGAAGCATCGTCGGCGTCTTTATTAATGTTGCAATTTCTTGTCGTCGATCCACGCGACTGAATCCATCCGTGATTATGGCGGACGACAGTGCGTTGGTGACCGTCACGGGACTCCATGGACATGATTGGAATGCATCGCATTGACCAGCTTTAATGTCAGCTACGCGCCTCCGCGAGCATACGATGAAAGACACGGACTGATTGCAATGTTGTTTCCCTCCCGTGAGAGAAATATATCAGGGACCCAGGGACGTATCATCGGTGGAATTATGGCAAGCCTACTTCGACGATCATCATCGCGTCGCCTATTTCAAATAATTGATTTCAATCCTGGTGGAATCCCCGCTGCATGTTGCCCGACGGCGATGGATTCGAAAGACTCGTAACCTCGATGCACAGGCACGAATCTTTTGCATACGTCCGCGAACTCGCTTTCTCTAGCTTGCAGGCATGGAACCTAGCCTCTTGCATTCCATACGAAGGTTCACGGGGGAGAGGGAAGAAGGCAGAAAAGAGCGGATAGAATGTTGGTTAACCCTCGGCCGGCGAGTGCAGGGTCATTCTGATCTAACTGCAGCCCGTCAGACGTGCTCTTCGTCGGAAGTTATAAGGCATGATCGCTTGAAAAACGCCCGCGAGATGACGTTCAATTATTCGGAATTTATTTCATTATTTTTTGTTGTTTCTGTGGTTTAGAGTGCTAACGTAAAAGTACAGTTAGACCAATAAGTGATTCGGTATTTCTTTTTTCATAAACTGGTAAGACAGTTTAAATTTAATAAATCGTTCTACCCTTTTCTTATTTCAAAATGATGGCGAACATTGTAGCACAACAATGAAAACGAATAAGCTTCTAATTTCCTCGAAAATAAGTATTCAATAACCGATAACATATAGTGGATTACTTAGTGGTACACCTAATATTAAAGATGGTCCTTCAAGAGTTAATTTGTAGTATAATAATCGTTCGGGGATAGTGCAGGGTGGTCTATTATTGGTAGTAAAACAACGATAATAGTTCTTTATAAAGAGAATAATTAGAACGAATAGAATATAAATTTCACATTTAGGTCATTGTTTCGAGAAAAGTGTCTTTAGAAGTGGAAACTGTACGTGCTGGTCAGACAAACCAAGCATCTCGTACATCTATACTTTTATACTATTTTCGCGAACTACTATTAAGCTCCCATATGTAAGACTTTTCTCAATGAAGAATAACACGTTGCTCTGTCTCTACTCCACCACGTGTCTCAAAGTGACCACCACGAAGTGGTAACTCTCGTAGTATACTTTCTCATCGCGAACCGCCTCACGGAACAATGAACGACAACGGTGTGAGGGTGTGTATGTGTGTACGTCGACAGTTCGTTTCCACGGCGGGTTCAAGGTACCAGGAACTGCAGGGGATTCGCTTCTGGGCGTAGTTTGACCTAAATCCTGAAGGCAACGACGACGATTGCCCGAACGACCGTTTGACCCCGAACAACTATTCGCGTCGAAGCGCACCGTCGACTCCTCCGTAACTAGAGCACGGACGTGTGTGTCTGTATGCGTGAACGAAACGTGACCTGGCGAACGGGGAGGGGGAAGGGGCCGAGAAGAGACGAAAAAAAAAACCAGAAGAAGAAAAACCACGAAACGAACCAGAGAAGAAGAGGAGGAGAATCGAGAGTCAGACGTGGAGTAGAAAAGAACGGGACAC